ACACAATTTCCAAATTTTAAGTCTTTGACGCACAGCCCCGACCCCCATCAGGAATGATAGACATGAGTGGACCCACATTTGGTAATTACGACCAGTGTTTGAGTATTGAAAGTCCCGATGAAGAGGACAAACCTAAGTTTTACGGACAATACTGTGGAATGGATGCCAAGGATAACATGGATCTGAATCCACATACTATGCCCCGAGAATATCTGGAAAACATAGGCCAGAAGTTGCCCCAAAACACAGCTTTCAATTACAAAAACTTTTTCAATCAATTCTTTGAGAACTACAGGAAAGTGTTGTATCGCATGACTCCCGACGACCTCTTGGATGGCATGGAGTTCGCAGAAAACCAAATGTTTGATAACATAAGACTAATGAACGGACTTTGTTTGCCCACCACTTGTAATCCTGTAGAAGTGGGCAAAGCTCTCACTGAATGTAAGCTCTATTTAAATACAAGTATTTATTTTTGTTTATTCATTCATTTATATTATACTTCAGTTTCGTATCCAATCACTCGGCTTCCGATGGTTATGGATCACGATTGCGATTACGTCGGAAAACCTATTAAACTCAATAAATATCAAATCATATCAATGTTCGTCAATTTATATTAATATACTCTAAATACAAACTTAATATAAATCATTTTAAAAATTCATTTTAATAGTGTAGCCATCAGTGCGGTTGTCATAACATTTGTGTTGAGTACAGCTATTGATTGTCTACCACCGGGATCATTTATTAAACGATTAATAAAAGGGACTTCAATTGCATTTGTAGTAAATTGTTTTGCCGCCAGAAATAGTGCCAAATCTATGTTTAGTCTTAAACAATACGGAAAATTCAAGGCATTAGACGGATACCGGGCCTGTCTTACCATTTGGGTGGTTATCCTTCACACCTATGAGTTTGGGTGTATAGTCCTGAACAACAAAAACTTTTTTCTAGGATCTTCTTATAACATGCTCCATGACTACAGAAATATGATTTTTCCAAATATTTTGCTTATGGACAACTTTATGATAATCACAGGTATTATTATTTTTACTTGTGTATGTATGTATTGTAATAAAATTTTTAAAAATAGGTTTTGTGTTATGCAATACAATGTTATCAAAGCTCACCCAAAGTAAAGGCCAATTCAATTACTTAAATTATTTAATCTTTAGGTTATACACATTTTTAAATAATTAATTTACAATAAAATTATATATTGTGCACTTTATTTATTATCTAATAGATACTTACGACTAATCCCTATTATAATATTTGCCCTGTTCCTCACTTATTTATATGAATTTACTGGCTCAGGTAATTATTAATTTAATAATTTCAAAGACCCTGTACTTAATTTACTTTTTGAAAAGGTCCATTTTGGAGAACTGTACTTGTATATTTTGTTGAACCTTGTTATGAGAGATGGTATAAACCACTGTTAATGACAAATAATATACTTTACTATCCAAATGCTAACACTACTATTTTGTCATCACTTCAGGTTAATATACATTTATTGTGTTGTCATAATGTAGCAACTTATTGATTAATTCTTTATTATTTTTCAACAGTGTATGACAATAACATGGTTTGTATTCAAAATAAATTATTTAAAATTATTTAATTAAAGCATAAAATATTCACTACAATTACTAAGGTATTCATCAATGGATTTTCAATTGTACGCAATAGCACCCATAGCTTTTCTAGTGCTATATAAATTAGGCCGGAAAGGTGTGTACTGGCTATTAATATTACTGGTAATAGGAATCATAATACCCCCGTTCAATCGGTTTGTATTGGGAGATCTGCACGTATATGAGATACTGAGTCATCAAAACTTAAGACAAATAATGTTGGGCTGGAAATCACATTATTGGGGACCTCTTAACTACATTCAAACTCAACTCATAGGCATGTTATTGGCCTACGCTGTCAGATATCATCCGAAAGCATACTTAGGCGGACCTATAGGTCATGTGATCATTTGGTTGACCACTTTCTCGATAACATTGGGTCTTATGTATTGGCAAAAGGATATGATCATGCCCGGTTTTGAATATGGTCCATACGAACACTATCTCTATCTATTTTTTCACAAACCATTATATCTATCGTGGTTTGCATGGCTTATATACGGAACGTCTACTGGCAGATGGGGTTTGAATTACTATTTTAGGACTTATTTTGAATATGATTATAACAAAAGTATAATTCTTAGGTTTTCTAAATGACATAATTGGTTGGAAAGGGTTTAAAGTAGTCGATAACATGTCACTCGAGATCTATATTGTATGCTAAATATAGTTAATGTCTAAAATAACAATCAATTTTAATTATAAACACATTTATCTAAACAGATGCACGTATTTGTGTTTGTGTACAGAATTGGTGTTCAGCGAGAACTTCGTACATATAATGAATACTATATCGTAAGTTATTTTAGTTAAAGCTCTTTAAATCCAAATTCATAAATACCTT